GTCTATTAAGTGATTACATGTTCCTATAATACTTATATCTTTTATGTTATGTTACTAAAGTTAATATTTTGTTAGCTAAGTAACATAATTAACTTAACCTTTTATAAAAGTTAGGGTGAGTTACATGGAGTTATGGATGTTGAAATATAGGCTTTAAGAATACGAAATTCATACATGGAGATGTAATATTTCAATGACATGTATTCTGATTTGTGGTGCATAATTCGTCGAGTGCACTGAAGGTATAAGATAAGAAATCATGGGTTTTAGAATGGAATCGAAGTTTTTGCTGAATGTTATCATTGATTTTGAAGATTATAGTATGGACTGCCAGAGATATATGTTGTTTGCTTTTAGCAAATAATTTATCAGAGTTGTTGTTCGATTTTTTGTATTTGGCATTGCATGTGTGTGATCATGGGAGCCAGACGGCCATAGCAGTGTGCTCATGTCTTTGTATTGCATGGTATGTTTGCTGCAGCCACCCGGCCATAGCGAGTGCCAGCTACAGCTTTCCACGTCCACCATAGCTTCCAAGCATGGTGGAAATTCGTGCGGCCATCCAGATAAAGTACGAGTCGGAGAGGCCAATCCTCATCCCCAAGGATCTGGTGAAGCTGTCCAAGGACAAACAGTGGCTCCAACTTCGGCCCACTTCCCAACCCATAATTGAGTTGCTCACAGGCCAGAGACCCGACAAGAATGCCAGTCTGTCGGGTTCTACGGCCATGGCCAATCTCATCAAGAAGAGGAACCAGAGCTTCGACCAACCAGCAACACCAGCAGAGCAACTTTTCGATGCTCCAGAGCCAGGCTCAGGAAAGAAGTCGACCAGAAAGAGGTCTCTTCCAGACAACCAAGAAGAAGAAGTTGCCATGGACATCAATGGTTCCAAAGTCACCTGCTTGATGAGTGGCAAGAGGCCAAGGAGGTGCGATCTCACCATCCAACTCGAACAGCACCAGATCGAGACCATCATCAAGACCATTCGCAATGATGAGGATACGGCCCAAGTCCTCGGCCAGGCCAAAAGAAGCTACAAGAAGAAAGCCAGGTAGTAGCCACGACCAGTCCAGGAGTGACTCTTCCAGACTCTGCCAGGCCTTCGCAGGAAAAGGCTTGCTGCAGAACAGTTTTGCAAGTGTCAAGTGTTGAAGGGATGCATACAGTTTTGTTTGCTTTATCGTCTGCCTGCAGCCAGTATATAGGCCATCCATGCATATCCATGGTCGCAGAACCATGCCACTGTTGAACCCGACAGATATATATGCAGGTGGTTAGAATCCAGCAGTTCCAGACGAGCAGAAAGAAGTTGCCCGGCACAGCCACACTTGAATTCCAGATAGGATATACCAGACAAGGCCACAGCCGCACAGAAGCCAGAAGCCATGGCTGTCCCTCCAGCTGTGGTCCAAGAGGTGGAGGCCATTGTGAATGGCCGCGAGCCAGTGAACACCAGAGTCACCAAGGTCTTGCAGGTGCTGGAGCACCATGGCCTCTGCCAGCAGCAGACCTTGGTTCCAAGCCAAGTTCTTTGCCACCCCTCCAACCGGGGAGGGCAGATGGTGTCCCACTTTGACGTTTGGGCCAAGGGACACCAACTCTTGGCAGTTGGCCTGCAAGTGCATGTCCATTTGTCTCCAGATGTCCACGGACCCCCAAAAGCGCCAGCAGCAGGTTTGGAGGAACCAGCAGCTGGTCCAGGAGAGCAAGGGCTCCCTGGCCCCAGTCAGTGGAGCAGAGGGCCACTCAGATGACACATAGAATTGGTTTCCTTTTCTCTATATATCCAATCCATTTACAATTTGCGGATAAATGTATATTGTAGACATACATTGGCCACTGAGGATACCTATCCCTTGCCAGCAGCCACACCACGGCATTCTTGAGATGCCTGGAGCATGGGACCACGGATCCCAGTGGCAAAGCCATCTCCGTGCCCAAGACAGACCCAGTCTGGTCCGCCATCCAGACCGGGTGGCGGTGGCATGTGGTGGCCTCCAGTGTGGAAGAAGCCATGCCAAGCCTTCCACAGTTCTTCCAAGTCGGAGCCAACTCTGGCAATGCCATTGGCAGAGCCACCAGCGAGTTGGAAGCAGCCTGCCAAATAGCCATTCAAGTGCAAATGGGAGCCAGTCTGGAGTCGGCAATCCAGTCCGTTGCCAGCGGCGAAGTTGCCTGCAGGCAGAGCCTCCCAGCCATAGGGCATTATGTCTCGAGATACTCTGGAGGCACAAGCTTTCCATTGCTGAAATTCCTTTCCCACTTCTCCTCCACCTACGGCACCACGTGCATGATGGGCCAGGATTTCATGGAGGCGTTGTCGCACACCACCTTCCCAGACCCTGGCAACCTTTACCCATTGCTCCGCACAGCTCTATGGGCAACCCAGTGCACATCCACCAAACAGCAAGACGGCTTCGCACGACTCCTCACCAGAGCCGACGTCCAGAGACTGTCGTCGCCACAGAACATGGAGTCCGTCAGGACGGCGGAGTCCATGCTTTCGGATTCCTGGAAACTGGTCCAGAGCCAGCTTCCAGAAGGCACCAGCACCAATGCCGGCAGCAACCATCTCTACAAGTGTTTCGGCAAGTTTTGCGTCAGAGCCATCTTGTTTCTGACCAAAAAGGAAAAGCTTGGCCCTGATGCCCAGCAGAAGCTGGAGTCCCTGGCCCAGATTCTCGACCTTTTCACCCAGGACGTTTCCAAGGTCAAGCAGGCCACCCCAGCTGCAGAGGCAAAGACCATCAAGGATGCAGTCTCTGCCCAGCCATGGGAAGCCACCTTGCTCCAGAACACCCACATCAAGGTGGGCGACCAGTGCCCATGATTGCACATAGGAGTTTTGCTGTTTTAATGTCTGTTCCCTCATAAGATTCTGCTGTAGATACATTCCATACACAAACCAAGGTACACCTTGCCAAAGGAGCACGGAGCCAAGGTCTACCAGCTCCTGCAAATCAGCAACGAGGGTGGGACCATGGAGCACAGGCCAGTGCTCCAGGCACCGGAGACAGTTTTTGTGCCGCTGGCGGGGCTGGGGAAGTGGCGGGTCTCCCGCCACTCCATGCCAGCCATCGGCCCAGCCGACATCATAACCAGGGGACTCCCATCCAGCCATGCCATGGCCCAGGAGGACTTCCAAAAGGCAGCTGTGGTCACGGCACTCCACCAATGCTACCAGGAGCAGTCGGTCGAGGACTTGGAACTCCTTTGCATGGCTTCCAGTCCCCAGGCACTGTATGCCAAGAAAGCCATTGCCAGCAAAAAGCTCAAGCTGGTTCCATTGGGTTCCATCAGCAAAGTGAAGACAGGCCAGAAGCCGCCCAAGCTGGCCATTCAGGCCTTCGGCCATGACTGGGCCATTGGAAGCTGGAAGCAGGACCTCCAGTTCCAGGCAGAGGGCACCATCGTGCCATTTTTCTGGTGCAGGACAGCAGAGGGCGAGGATGAGGGCAACATGGTCTTGACTACGATCAAGCAGGGGCCATGCACCGTGCCCATCCTCCATAACCCTGCGAAGATCCAAGCCAATGAGCAAATCTTGCAGAAGGTCGAGGAGGAAGCAGCCACGTCGGCTTCAGCCAAGAAAAAGCCCAGGAAGGGCTGACCCAGCCTCTATGGGCCATGCACATGGGATCCATCCTTGCACCATGCAGAGCTGCAGGAGTTTTGAGGGTTCCAAGTTTTGCAGAGCTGCAGGGACCAGGCTGTTGCGGCAAAAAGAAGCACCTTCTTGGATCCAGGTGACTTGAGCAAGCCTCCTGTGGCTGTCCCAGCACCGATTCTGCTTTCTAGCCTGCCACCATGGCTATACCATGTCTGTAATTGTCTGCTTGATCCAGCCACTTCTTCCCAAGAGCTTCCTCCGCCTGCACCATGCCCAAAGCCATGGTCTTCAAGAAGCCTGCTGCCCCCATGAAAGCCATGAAGGTGGTCCACAAGGCAGCTGCCCAGAGCAGGAAGGCGAAGGCCAAGAAGAAGCCAGCACCTGTGTGCAAGGCGAAAGCCCAGAAGAAGCCAGCAGCCAACTCCAAGACGACCGAGAAGCCAGATCTTCCGCCTCTAGAACCCTGGGAGTACGGTGGTGGGTGGGAGGAGTGGGAGATGATGTCGGCGGACCCCAACTACGAGCCATGGGGGGGCCAATGTGCTCTGCCCAAGGATTTCCATAGAAGGTACCGCACCAGTTGATGCAGACTTCCATGCACTCTGCTTGTTTGCGAGGAAAAGTACATGTAGCAGGACTCTCCTGGAGCAAGTGAGCCTTCAGGGGCCATGTCATGCTTGCTTTGTTATACTTCATGCCAAGTTCGACGAGTGCATGCACATCCCAGCCTGCATGGCCATGCCAGGGATTTGTCGTGATTGCTAAAGCCAAACATGGCCATCACAGGCCCAGGCTCTTCAAGACGGACCGCATATGTGAGGTCAATGCAGGCCACATGAACTCGCTGCACAGCAGCCAGAGTTGCAGGCCCAGAGCAGAAAATCCAGAGCTTTGTCCTGTTTCTATATACGAGGGACATGTAGCCACTGTGGCCATGCCAGGCAAGTTGCTGTGTTGTGCGAAAGCCAAGTGTACATAGGACCATGCCATGCCGTCACGTCTCAGCATTTTGGGTTTAGGGTCGGAAATAGAAGTGGAAATGCATAGTGCAGTTTGACCTTAAGAGACTCTAAACCCTGGACCCTAAACCCACAAGAATATACCCTTACATCCCAAAGCATAACCTCCCAAACCCGAGAGCTCGAAGCGCCATTTCTAAGCCAGGCCCTGAAGCAAAGCCAACACCATCCAAGTCCTCCAACCGCCAACTTTCTTCTAGAACCCCCAAGCTTCGTAGGGTGAAGCCAAGCCTTTGCAGGGAGCCAAGTGGCCATGCCAGACTGTTTGCACTTCCATTCTAGGGAGCCAAATGGCCATACCAGACTGTGTGCAGAGCCATGCAAGGCAGGTCCATGCTGCAGGAGCACAGCTTTTGCCAAAACACAGACCATTCGCAGCAACAGCAGCTGCCAAGCCACCAGGTATCTCCACGGCAGCATTGCTGAGGGTGCCATCAAGACCAAGAAGACCAAGAAGACCACGAAGGCTGCCGGAAACCCAAGCACAGCAGCTGTGCACCAGCGGCCAAAAAAAACGCCTCCAGTTTCGATTGCCTGAGCCGTTGTGGCCATGCCAGGCCATTGAGTTTGTTGTTTGAAAGCCAAGTGGCCAGGCATGCCATGGCACACATGTTCGTCTCTCTTTTTCGTTCCGCTGCAGCCTCTTTTGGCCATATAGCGAGCTGCCCACAGCTAGCCAAAGCCTCCACTCCAGTGCCGCCATGGTCAAAGGAGTCAAAAAGCCAGCGGCTGCCAAGGAGGCCACGACCAGGACCAAGCCCAGGGCCAAGAAGCCGGCAGCAAAGCACGACTCCACGGACTCCACGGCCGTCTCTTCCAAGCCCGTCCAGCCTCCACCACAGGGGACAGTGACGGCCCTCCCAAGCAGTGCCATGGTTCCACCAGAGGAGCCCATCGGGCCGCACGTAATGCTGCGGTGTGTGGTATGCCACCGCTCCACTATCTTTCTGTGGAAGCTGTATCACAATGCCAACTGCACCCAGTGTGATTCCCCATGGATCACCAGCTTGGCGGGAGGAGCAGGCCTCGTCTACAGGTGGTGAGGGGCCACCCACCACCAGAAACCAGGCACCATGGGCCACTTTCTTCCATGCCACCAGGGCCTCTCTCCAGACGGACCAGGTCGGCCATGGCTGCAAAGGTATGGAGGCCAGTGGTTTTTTTGAAGGACCCAGCCTGCACCATGCAGGCCAGCAGCAGCATCTCCAAGCCGTGCCAAAAAAAGGGTGCTTGAACTCCAGAAGCCTTCCATGGCCATACCAGCAGCAGGTTGTCACATGCCAAGCCACAAAGGCCATCACATGTGTTATTTTTTTTGTCGGTTATATATTTATATCTGCACAGATGTATGCTTTTTTCTATATGTTCAGAAGACCATTTGGGTGAACATCCATGGAAGGACACATACATGTTTTGTACAGATATAGAGACATATATAGAAATGATTTGTCTGGAGTAACTTGTTTGTATATTACATTCTGATTGTAATGAAGATATCTTTGTAAGCCATGTATCATATACTCAGCACCAACAGAAACAGGCAGAAGAAGAACAGCAGCATGAGCAGTCACAACCAGAGCAAGCAGCAGCTGCACACTGGAAGACCAAGAAGGACAGCTGGCCACGGCCACAGCAGCAGCAACAGGGGCACCAAGCTTGAGACCAGCATCCATTCCGATAGGGGTCTATAAGCTTCATGGTTTAGGGTCTGAAATAGAAGTGGAGATCCATAGTGCCGGTTCACTTCAGTAGACCCCAAACCCCAGACCCCATATAAACCCAGAACGATGTACCCATGAACCCCAAAGCCGAAACCTGCGAAACCCGAGAGCTCCAAGCGCCATTCCTATGCCAGGCCCTGAAGCAAAAGCCACCAAATCCAACTCCTGAAACAGCCAACTTTCTGCAAGAACACCCAAGCTTCGTAGCAGCAAGCCAAGCCATTGTAGGGAGCCATGTGGCCATGCCAGACTGTTTGCACCACCATTGTAGGGAGCCAATTGGCCATACCACACCGTCCCTTTTGTCAGCCCAGGTAGGTACGTGACCACAGTTGTTGCCAGAATCTTTGCTCTTCGGAGCAGCCCAGAGTGCTCGAACCTTTGTAGGAAGCCACAGACAGAAGTTTTGTATGTCACCATACTGCCAAAGTAAGAAATACAGTAGAATCAGAATCTGAATCTAATTCACAGATTCTGGCAGTTAGATTCAAATTTTGAATTTAAGATTTTCCAAGATTCAGAATCTGAATCTTACTACCAGATATCCGCATTTAGATTCAAATTCTGAATCTAGCCATTTTACATACATAACAGCCACCATATAAACATCATCAAATATTTCCACATAAACTCAGTCGTCCTCCAGAGTGCCAGCCATGGCCACGTCGCCGACGGAGGTGCCAACGAGCCCCAGCGAGCACCCCACCGAGGTGCCCACAGAGGAGCTGGCCAGAAGAAGGCCCACCAGGGCAACCAACGGTCCAGATCCCCCTGCGAGGCCCATCCCCGGAGGCTGCCACCGAAGCCAGCCCCACACCGCCAGGAGCCCCGCCATCACCCGTCACACCTTTCGACGAGCAGACCACAGCCCAACCTCCGCCCAAACTCAAACCCCCCATGGCCCAACCCGTCCCCCCAATGCCATGGCCCTTCCACGTCCCAATCCCCAACCCATGCCCAATCCCCAACCCATGCACTGGCTATGCTCCGCCCAGGCCACTTGTGCCAGCACTGGCACAGCCATCCTTTCAGGCCACCGCCACACTGCCCATGGCATCCACAGCACCCATAGCACCATGCACCTGGCCAACACCAGCTCCCATGTGCATGCCTCTTCTCCCCACCACCAATCCACTCCTACCAAGGATCCCCTTCCACCCCCCCGCCACTTCGCCCGCAACATGGCCAATCCCCGCTTGCCATGCTGCCACCGCACCCACAGCACCCAAACCACCAGTCCAGTGTCCCGCCAGCAGTGGCCTCCCAGTGTCCTTTGCCCCACAGCAGCTTCAACCAACCGCCCAATACATCCAAACCATCCAGCCCAAAGCCCCTGTCAGTGGCCCAGACATGGGCCCCAAGCTGCCGTCCAAAGCGCCACCCACACACCAGCAGAGCCCCTCCCACACACTCCACCGCACCACAGCCATGACACCGCCACCAGGCAGCACCACACCCAACACACCGGCACCAGACGGCACCACACCCGGCACACCGCCGCCAGACGGCACCACACCCATCACACCGCCAGCAGGCAGCACCTTCATGCCACCCAAACCCAAGCTCAAATACCCACCCACCCGAAGGCCACAGACAGTGCATGAGGAGGTTCCAATAACACCACCCCCAGCCAAGTCCACCATTTCCACCCCTTTCAGCACCCCTCCAACCCCAATCCCACAACCCAAGACACCACCCACACCACCGCCGCCAACAACCCCACCAGTGGGAGGGATCAACCTGCTCCAACGAGCCCAAACCCCACCAAGATCACCGCCACAATCAGAGGCCAGGTCCAGCTCCAGTGCACCAAAAGCCAAACCTCTCATGCTGACACCAAAGTGGGCCATCCCACAACCCAAGACACCACCAGCAGAGCCAGTTCCGTGGAGCCAAGGCATTTCAGGAACCAGCCACAGCAAGACCAAGAGCACGGGCTGGAAACATAAGGTTGGCTGGCTAGCCATCTTGCTCCACAACCAGAGATGGACCAGGGCCCAAGAGCTGGCCAGTGTTTTCATCCAAGAGGCCAACGAGCAAGTCGCCACCGGGGCAACCCAACTGGAGGCTGCCAGTGGTTCGCCAACATGGTGCCAGAAGTGCCTTTGGCTTTCCAGAGCCATTACCAGGGACGACCATGGACGAGCCCAGAGACAAATCCAGTGGCAGCTCGACCAGATATAGATTCCATAGTTTTCATTCTACAATAACAATAACAGCATGCAGCATAGGCTTGACCCGGAAACCTCCCAATCTTTTT